AACCACCGCTACCCACTACTACTCCGGATCGCAAGGGCACCACCTCAGCAACACTTTCTTATGCTGCCACCAGTATGAGATCCACTGTGGGTCTCCGTGGCTCTGTGTGAACACTACATAACATTCACTCCCCTCTTAACCAGACTTCCAGCACATGAGAAGAGAAGCGTAAGCCAAGCTAAATGAACAACAGTGTCAGTGTCAGACCAGGCTGACAACATTCGCAGACCAGCGAGCGCATACACAACTCATGCATCACCACCAGTTAACCTGTGCTAATCTGAATCTTGACAACCTAGAAAAATAAAGGAGGACCTTAGGTAAACACACTAACCATACATCCCAACATCAATTAGTCACAACATGCCTAACACATACCGATACTAGAGGTAAATAAGCAGCAAATAATACTAGTACAAGTGATTGTACTGGTACAGCACTTAGATGGTCAGTGTGTGTCTCTGGCTCTGTGTGAACCCGGGGACGATTGCTCTCAGGATCACCACCAACCCCCCCCCCCCAGCCTCATGCAGCCCCAGGTCAGTGAAACCAGAGGCCCACCTCAGACCCCTCTGTGAGGGGAACAGCTGCCCGTGGGCCGGGGCAACAGCTGAGGACAGCGGGGAACACTGGGGAATGTGGTGGGGGGGTGGGGGGGGGGACGCAAGAACAACAGCTGCCCACACTACATCACGCTTTGGCTGGACAAACCGCAACTGCTCGCTCGCTAAAACAACAAACTGGGTTCGTCGCCTGGGCCTGGGGCTCAGTGAAATGCCCCCCACCCCACCCCCAGCCCCCTTCCCCCCTGAGCCTGTGGTGCTGCTGGTTTTGTTGTTTGTTTGTGCCATCCTCTCAGTCGACCACTATGGAAGTGAGGACAAGGATTAATCTGTACGCATTAGAGGAAGGGGGTCGGGGGGGGGCTTTAAGAGGGGTTGGGGGGTGGAGTATTTGTCAGGGTTGAGTACAGAACATTTTTTTATTAATACTAATTGAATTACAACAGCTGACCAAATTTAGCAGGATATGCACCATGTGTTAATGCTGACTGTCAGTAATGCCACGTTCTGTTCCCGTGTCCAGCCCCTGGATGGGCGAGCCCCCCCCCCCCCTTCCCTGTTGGGGTGAGTGCGGAGATCGTCACGGTTACCTGCTGTGCCTGCTGCTCCCGCAAGGGGCGACGGAGAGCCCACCGGTGTCGAGGGGTTGGATGGGAAACTACTGTTGGTGTGGTCAGGTGAATAAATCTGAGGAGAGAGAGGAAGATCTGTGAGTGACACAGCTTACAGAAGCCTCAAAAAGCCAACCTTCTCATTTCGCAGTGCTTTTTATGGCTGTTGTTTGCACCCCTCTAAGCCATCCTGTGAACAAAGCCTGCTCATCAGTTCTGATCCCTCCACTATCCAGGAGCACATAAAGATGCTCTTGGCATACATGACACAACATTACATTATTGGCATTTAGCAGACACTCTTTTCCAGAGCAACTTACATAGATTACATTTTCTAAATTTTTACACCTGGACATTTACTGAGGTAGCTGTGTACCTTGCTCAAGGGTACAACAGCAGTGTCCAAGCAGGGAATTGAACCAAAAACCTTTTGGTTACGAGTCCTGTTCCTTACTACTATGCTGCACTGCCACATATATATGGGCCTTTAAAGATACAGGGAAGCACCTACTACAACAGCTTCAAACCAGCAGGAGCAGATCCAACCCCACCTCCCCCTGACACCAGCACCCTGAGGTCTTTTCTCTCCCAACAACACTTCTCCTTCTTTCTTTTTTTAGATCTTTACAGATGCTCTGCTAATCTTGCAACTTTTCTTTCTCAACAGTATACATCATCCTGCTATCATCATCCCCAAGCCCCGAGCCCCCAAAAGTCATCAACAAAAAACTTCCAGGACTTTCAGCTCAACTTTCAGAACCTGCAGCACAAAAACACCAAAAGTGGGATTGTTGAAACTTGGGAAAACGGAACTCGGGCAAACGGAACGCGGGCAAACGGAACGCGGGCAAACGGAACTCGGGCAAACGGAACGCGGGCAAACGGAACGCGGGCAAACGGAACGCGGGCAAACGCTCTGGGAAACAGAATGCTGGGAAAATGGAATTCAGCGAAACTGCATCTGGACTCCCAATCACTATTACACCCTTGAAATGTGGGGCTAGACTGCCTCACAATGACCCCAAATGCAACTTGAGGCCTGTCTGGTGTCCACATGAGGAGGGGAGAGGAGAGGGTGTGTCCCCCACAGGCCATTCCAACACAGCCACCATCAATCTCACTCTCCTTTCACTCATCCATCTCTCCCAGGTCTGTGCAGCCTCACTCTGTGGCCTGCCGCAGAGGATCATGGGCCGGCCGGCCGTCAGGAGGCCCAGCTTATTGATGGGACCTAATGAAACGGCAGTCATTTGATCCTCGCTGCTCACGGTGCAGACACAGGTCTTTCGGGCCAATAAGGACAGCCTGCTTGGGATGAACGACTTGTCAAGCCTTAATGTGGAAACGTCGGTGTTCTCCTGTGACAGACGGCGGCCTCACTGCATGCACAGGTCTGGACCCTCCATCACACAGCTGTGCCGTGGGCCAGTGGGTTTATTTTCCAGACCGCCATGTGGGCGGAGAGACAAAGTCGTCAGTTTCTGTCTTGCTCCTAAAGCCGCAGACAACGTCTACAAAATTTCCACACACCAGCATTTGAGACGGGTGGGGGGTTGGGAGCTGTGTTTGTTTCTACACAAGCTGGATTACTATATGTAAAGCTTCCATGTTTCTTCATTTGATAAGAGGATATTTTGCCACATAATGGAAAAAACATCTTATGGAAACCAGGGTATTAAGTTTCGATCCAACTAATTAGCTCTCAGACAAACAGCATATCTAGAAGGATTTTTCTCGCTGAGGAACTCAATCAAGTGCTGTGACACAACCGTTTGCAGTACGACATAAAGCCCAATTGACTTTCAACAAGAGACAGAAACGCAGTTATTACTAATCTTCTTACTCAGTCCCAAACCACATGGTTTTGCACATCAATCAAATTTCTTAAATCCTGAAGGACACAGTGATTGCATCATGTCCTGGGAGGCTGGGAGGGGGGTCTCTCCCCACCGCAGTGGACAGAATAACACCTCTTAATGGGTAGCCCTTACAAATGCGAGCCACAGAGAGACGTGCACTTCAGTGACACTCAACATTGCACTACATCTCTGAAACCTGTCAAATTAAAATTCTCACAATTAAAAAAGTGACACCCAGGAGACGCTGCCATAATCACACCTCACCGCTGTTCCTATGGTAATGAGTTGTTTGCCAGGCTGTAGCAAATTCACCCGAAGGCATATCTGAATGTGTCGCAGGTCGCATTCTACAGCAGTACGACCCCTGGCCTGGCCAGATCGCGAACCCCCCCGTACCCCCCCCCCCATCCGACTCTGCTGTATCCAAACACTAACACCACTCACTTTACAACAACAAATAAGGCCCCGCCCCCCATCAGTCATGCTCCCTCAGGCAGCAGGGGGGGGCCCAATCAGGTCTGCCCTGGCAGACAAAGGCCAAACAATGGGCAGCCTGCAGGGCTTAGATGCCCCCAATCGTGTCCATTTCACAGCAGTTTTGTCATGCTAATGGAATAGAGTCTGTGGATAGAAAAAGACTTCATTTTCAATTATTATCCCCCTTTTGTTTTTTTTTCTCTCTTAACGTGTGTGCTTGTCTGGGATTTTGTGCAGCCAATTTATTCCATGTTTTGAATTGGTCTTGTTTTGGGTCCCCCCTCTGCCGTTTCTCTACATTTTATACCTTGTGGTTTTATAGAAGGAAACACTTCAAAGAAACACGTGGAGCAATTAACTGCCATTTCACAAGCAGTGGTGTTATAACTAAAAACACTGTTTGCTATACGCTCACACCTGTTTGATCTGTGGTGAATTTAAGCCCAAAGCTGACTGATTTTCACATGAAACATACACACATTTTTTCAATGTTTCAGAGGACCGCATGCAGGCACAAACACAGGAGTTACTGTTTGGCAAATGTTCGGTTAAACACATTAGAAAAACAGCACAAATACTCTTATTTTTTTGTCCTCTCCATCTAGACTGGTTGATTATCCAAACTAATGCATAATCCACTGGCTCTGAGGACTCTGGGTAAATACGTTTTAATGTACAATTCCCTTTCTTGTATACTCTGAGATTAGGAGCACAATTATCCAGGCTTAGGTCCAAAAAAACATTCGCAAACACATCCTCTGGCCTTACAGGTTTAATCACAGAGGGTTCAGAATGGCAGTTAATACCCAGCAGAACGACATAGGTCACTTCTTTTGATGTCTGAAGTGGGGCATTATTACTGCGCCTGGTATCCGCGTGCAGAGTCCAAACATTACAAACTGAAATCACTACTTTCAAGGGCTGTGACGGCCCTCCGCTGTTGATCTGTCATGACATCAGCACAGAGACAAACTCATTGTGAGAATGGAGTGCAATTACAAATGGGTTCAGTCTAGAGTGGAGTTCCAAGGTTTGTGCTTCTCTGCGCTATGGGCTCCACTCCCGTGTAGAGCCTGCCCTCTCAAGTGTGTGTGTGTGTGTGTGTGTGTGTGTGTGTGTGTGTGTGTTTGTGCATGTGTTTGTGTGTGTGCACGTGTAGGGTGGGGGCAGGGAGGATGGAAGACAGGGGGTAAACGTGAGAAAAGGGGGGACTCACAGATGCCAGGGCTTTCCCTAGTGCGTCTCCAGTCTGCGAGCTTCCAGTTCCGTTCCCTCGGTTTGCTGCTGCTGCGGAGACCAATGAAAACTCACTGTTAACTCAACGCAAACCAATCACCAAACAGCTGCTGCTTTATTTTATATTACTGTCATTTAGGAGACACTCTTATCCAGAGCAACTTACACAGGTTATAATTTTACATATTATCCATTTGCACAGCTGGGTATTTACTGAGGCAATTCTGCGTTACGTACCTTGCTGAAGTGTACAATGGCAGTGCCCCAGTGGGGAATTGAACCGGCAACCCTTTGATTACAAAAGGTTACAAGCCCTGCGCCTTACCACTATGCTACACTGCCACTGCTACAACAATAATTTTACCACGTCATTCCCGAAGTGGTAAACTGCTGCTTCAGGTGACGTCTTACCGATGACGTTTTCAGTGGTGTTGACGGGCGGGGTGTGCAAGGCTGTGACAAAGGGCGAAGCGCTGGTGTTGCTACGATGAAAGCTGGACATGGGAGGAAGGCTGGCGCTGACGTCTGCTGGGGACACAGAGGGCGGAGGGTAGTTCTGGACGGAGCGGGAGAGAGAAAGACAAATACGGCACAGCCGCGTTAGAAGACACACGGAGAGGAGGTAGAAGTGGAATGTCTACGAATGCAAACACTTTGTGTACCACCACACTCTTACAGTGTGCAACTATGACAATAAGTAAAGCCGATCATGGGGTTGCACACAATGAACTAAAAAGGTTTTTTTTTTTAATCTTCTTTAATTTTGATTAATTTATTTCTACACACAGCAACAGAACAAGCACTGCACCTCTAAAGCCTTCACTGCTGTGAAAGATTTTTTTCACTGGTGTCAAAGATTTGTTCCCTTCTTGTTCTAATTAGCATCAGGTGTGTGCTGTTCCTCAGCACAAGATGACAGCCAACTCAACGCAGGTGTGTAATCATCAATTAGTGTTTCAATTAACCTAAAGGATGTGCAACTGACAATTGGCAATGAACTACACTGAAAGGACTAAATGAATAGTGATATGTCCATAACAATTCAAGCGCACGTGTTCAACACCTTAAAAACAGAAATGTGTGTAATAAAACACACCTGTGTCTAATAATCAGATATGGATGAGAAAACAACCGCTAACCAACGACCACAGACAAACACAAAAATGTAATGTAAATAACATGCTGAAGTACTTAAAATAAATTAAAGAATGCTGCAGTTGACTGAGACCTACACTGGAAATTGACTGTGGACATAACTGACAGACCCTTTGTGTTAACTGAAACACTAATTGGTAATTACACACCTGCATTGAGTTGGCTGTCATTTTGAGCTAAGGAACAGCACATGTCTCATGGCTTTAGAATGGGAAGAGAACAAATTTTTGCATTCTGCATTTTGAAGTCTTTCCAACAGAAATGTTTGCTGTTTTTAGTTCCACTGCTCCCATGTCTGTAGAAATAAATTAACAAACCACGAAAGTTTTTTCTTCTCTTCTGAGCGTGACGCCATCATTGGCACGTCTGTGTGTGCACCCATTAAATATGTCAACGTGTTTTGGAAAACTCGGTATAATACCTGAAATTTGTTCAGTATGCTATCAGTGCAATACAGAGTTTACACAACCAAGCTGTTTTTGTACACATGTAGACATTTATCTTTAGACATGTAAAGTTAAATGTGGGCTCCAGTGTGGTAAGGAGCAGGGATGGAAAATGAAAGGTTGCCTGTTCAAATCCCTGCTGGGACACTGCTGTCGTACCCTTGGGCAAGGTACCCACAAGTAAATATCCAGCTGTATGAATGCATAACATTGTAACCTATGTAAGTCGATCTGGATAAGAGCATCTAGTAACTGACAATAATTTAATATAATGTGGAAGCCGTGGGGGAGTGTTAGCTGTAACCCATCTTTGATACCCATCTTTGATTACTCCATTGCTGTGTTGGGGGAGGGCAGTGTCACGGGTTTTGGTAAAAAAGACAGCCGAGTATGTACCTGGGCGGAGCACTGCACCAGCCTCAGACACGGCTGCCCCCTCCAGCAAGCGGACGGGGGGTGCCGGTGATGACACCCCGATACTGAGGGGGCTGGGGAGGAGGGCGATACAGCCAGGCAGGGCCGCGATAAGCAGGAACGGTGAGCAGCTGAGCAGCGATCTGAACACAGATCTACCGCCTTCCCACAGAGGCACCGATTCACCGCGCTGATACGAACGCTGACAGCACAATGCACTCAGGGGTGAGATCACCCCCGTCTCGCGCCGGGCCAAGAAAATATGGGGATGCTGCACAGACCACACACAGAGCTGCACAGCAGCAGTGATTCCAGTGCAACAGAATACAACCCTTTCCAGTGACCATGACACACAGAGAACCCTATTCTACCTATATACTGTATGTGCAGGTCATTTTTTATTTTTATTTATAGATCCTTACTTGCATGTGGACTCAGCCACCATAAGTTTTTTCAAACTATACATGGGATTTTTATATTACATTATTGGCATTTCGCAGATGCTCTTATCCAGAGCCACTTACATCGGTTACAGTTTTTTTTTTTTTTTTTTTTTTAAACAATGTTATCCATTTATACAGCTGGATATTTACTGAGGCAATTGTGGGTTAAGTACCTTGCCCAAGGGTACAGCAGCAGTGCCCCAGTGGGGAATCAAACCTGCAACCTTTTGGTTACGAGTCCTGCTCCTTAACCACTATGCTACACTGCTGCCCACAAGCATCTTTGGGACACCATGACCAGAGAGTACATCAATAAGAAAATGACACACAGACGAGGAAGCACTGTACCTTATTCTGAGGAACTTTACAGCTGAAACACAGTCCCTGTATCTTATTAGGAACAAGACCTGAGTCTCTTAAACCCATGCAGATTTCCATTCTGACAGACCCTTAATCTTGCAGGCTTGACTGGTATTAAATCAGAAAAGCTGACCCGGGTCTGACTTTGCGTGACAAATTTCTCTGCAATAAAATCTTGTGAAAAGATTGTTGTTGTCGTTGCTGTGACAACTATCTATCAGATCATCACACTTCCAATGCATTTAAGCAATCAGAGGCAGGGAAAGAACGAGAATTTCTGACTGCAGACAAAGAGTGTGACCGACCTGGCAGCATTGAACAGAGTCTGCTAATGCTCTGGCCATGCTGTCCCGGCTGTGACCCGGTACCTGAACTCACACCACACGCTAGACTTTTCTGGCACGCAAGGAATAACTTTCCACACGCATCTATGCGTGCTATAAATTATATCAAATTATAGATTCTGGCCGGAGCTCTCCTGTCACCCATATTGTTCACTGGGGTCTCTTAAGCAAGCCGCTGATACTGATAACATTTGCGTTCATTAAGAGGACAGCTGGAATGAAAAAGACAGGGCACACAGAGTGTCCTCATGACCAGGGTTGAGGAGCACTGATATAGACCATCTGGCTCCGTACGGACACTTTAATAACCAGCCACACTGTTCACTGATTCAAAGCAAATAAGACACCGCATGATGATTCTAATTGCATATTAGAGCTGATAATGACCAAACCCACATAAAAAAAGAGACATACTCTGTGCGATATTAGCTTCACTGATGGGGAGTGGCTGGATGACATCATGAACTGAGTGGCGCTCTGACCCAGAGAGAGACACGCCCTCGGTCTTACCAGGCGGTCGTGCGACTGCATGTTGCCAAAGTTTCCCGACTGCGACATGTGAGACGCAGAGCCTCCCAGGATTCCTCCGTAGCCGGGCTGGCTGATCCCATTGGACGAAATCCAGGAGTCAGGTGAGTTGTGGGCACCATCTGTGCAAAACAAAACAAAGATTTCGCGTAAAAAACAAAGAAACACTTTTCTCAACCCTCAGGAAGAGTGCTGCCTAATTCAACTTTGCATTTGATATTGCAAGGACAGAAAGAGAGAAGGACAGAAAAGGAAAGGATGCTTTCATATAGTATACTACTGATTTGGAAGCAAGCTGAGCTGTACTCTGAGAGTCATGCTTTCGTCCTTGGCTAGTGAAGAACAGCACAGCTTGATTAAGGAAAATTTGGGCAGATCTGTGAGTGCGGGCCACATCCCCTCGCTGCAGAGGCCCGAGTTGCGTGGGCCTGTCCTGAAAATCTGGTTTAACTGAAACACAAGCCATGTCCACGGCACAGCTGAGAAAACACAAAGCTCCCCTTGGCTAATTGAGAGGACCTTGAGTGCAAACTCACACCGAGACAGAGGGACTCAAATTCCACACGGACCCCAAGCGATACAGTGTCCTTGGGAAACAGAAACGTTCTGGAACAACAAAACGTTTCCCGAAGGGAAAAGATCGCGCAATTACTGTGACATGCACGTAGAGTATGTGTGCACATGCACACAAACACATGCATGCACGTACACACAGACAGACAGACAGACAGACAGACTCTCAAATCGGTTCTGCAACTCAGATGAAAGAGTTCTTCAGAAGAACTCCATATTCACTCTCACAGTTTAATTCCAGAGAGTGTTCTGAGTGCAGTTTGCAAACATCAAATAACAAGACAAATGTACTACTTCACATACATGTGACCAAACAGTAAGCAGCAAATAGACAAACTGGAAGGATGCGTAAACACTACTTTACAGTGGTATACACTATGTACCAAGGCCACAATATGAAGGATTAACACACCACACACCAATGGCTCATACATTACAGTGCATACACTATCATATACTCCACACATCGATGGCACAAACCTTACCGTGTATATACAGTCACACTCTACACACCAACGGCACATACTTTACAGTATGTATACTATCACACACTACACACCAATGGTACACACTTTATAGTACATATACTATCACACTGCACAGAACTGCACAGTTTTCACCAATGACAGAAAAATATATATTCTAACAAAGTTCGCAAACAATCAGCGTATGCAAGGCAGACGCCATGGCCTCCGCCCAGTAACACATGACGGACACGAGACCATCCACTCACCAAAAAAAGGACTTGCAAACACGCTGCTTGGCGGCTTAGCGGTCTGGTACGTGGGAGAATCTCTGTTGAAGTCGTCCGAGTTTGGAGATGGTGCATAAACCTGCCAAAAGGAAAATAATGAACGCCATTAGCAAACACGCAGGAATGCCGTTTTTAAACACATCTGTTTATCCGGTTGCTTTTAATTCTTGGGCTTGTAGCCCTCAGCTCTGCCGCCCGCGATTCCAACACAAGAGTAATGACAAAGTAATTCGTCTTGGTCATTTGGAAAAAACGCTTCCAACACAAGTCAGCAAATGCACCCATGCAGAAAGCAATTGGTTGGAACAGCAGCTTCTTTTTTTTT